ATATACCAGCCTACCCTATCTAGCAAATACTAGAGCATTCGCCAAAGTACATGATAGTTCTAGAAACGTTGCGTCACAGTAGTCATGTGACTCGCTGCCGCAACAATATCTTTGAATAGTTTTCTTTCAGTATAAAGCAGAAAATGGATGAATATTGAAATCGTGACACTCAGATGCTGGGTATAAGAAAAATTAATGAAATATTTGGCTCGTCAAAATTATCTAGTCTGAAGTAATTATAAACATTACCCCATACGTTATCAAGTAAACAAGACTACAGTGACCAGTTATGTTTCTAGCATATTTTATTTTATATTCCATATAACCACTATTACACTTACCTTCAATAAATATACAAATAATGAATCAAAATCGTCGTTTATGAATAAACAGTTTTTGTTTTACGCTAGTGAAGATATCACTCGGAACACTGTAAAAATGTTGTAAAATCATTTACTGAAGACTAACAAATATATAGCCCGATAATAATATTTAACCAGATAGAGTAATTCAGTTTGGAATTCAAATAAAGCAAGTGTTAACATAAAACAGCATGAATCCAAGTGGATAACTTATGGTTCAATCAATACTCATTAAAATCATACGTTTAATCATTTATGAAAAATTGCATTTGCTCACAAGAAATACCTATACAAAAAATCAAGATCGCCGCTTACTCACAAACTATTTATATCTTTATAATTTCTTAATCCAAGAATACAAATTAACACAATGGGTAACGTTAGAACACACAATACTTGTGGCTAAATATTTCAAAGAAATTCTGAGCATTTAAACTTTTTAAGATCTAAACCCTGTTACGTATTGAGAATTTGAAATGATCCAAGACCGCGTTAAATAATTTAACTCTTAATAGTTGAGCTGTACCCTGAAATATTAAAACGTACTTGTGTCAAAAACAAAAACGGTGTGAATCAATATTGTTGGCGAATAGCATAAATTAAATAAAATATCGGCATATTTCTAAACACTAAAATATATATATATATATACAACACTATAATTTACAATAGCAACTATTATGATTAATTATTACAGACAAAGTTTCACTAACTTACAAATAGCCTAAAATCGTCTTCCTAGTTCAGAGTCATCTTGATATCCAGCGAGTTAATTTGAAGTCGATGTACAATTATTGGGAGGCTAGCTAGCTTTGTCAGTCACTGAATTGTTAGACTGTCGAAGTAAGATAATATTTTCATAAAACCACTAATGTCCGATGAGAAATCGATAATAGTTTCGTACATATAATAACGTTTGATGATAATTCACTGACGTTCAAAGTTATAACTGTTCCAGGTCAAATGTTTTATATTTTCCTGTTGGCAAGGGTTAGCCAAATCACAGTTTATAGCGTAGACGGTTATAATAGTTTCCTAGCAGACATGTCTGTTCTCTGTTGTTTTTATTGCCGAGATACATTTTCTAGAAACTTCTGATAATACCGGTTACGGAAGTGGATGTATTGTTGATTCTTGTGTTCACGAATATTCACAATCTTGGAGAATTGGCGGGAGTTTCGCCATACGTTACTAACACGGTAAGCTAGACACACCCTCAAATATAAACTTATTCGAAACAAACGTTGACATTAAAATAAATATATAACAAATTCGTTGTACGCAACACATATCTGATACTACAAGTCACGCATATTTCTAAATGCAAATTCAATCCAAACAACGTTCATATTAAAAATAAATACATAGTGATAAATTCGTTACAGTAGGTAAACTCAAAAGAAACTAATGATTTAGTATGTTGATGTCAGTTTAATGTTAACAGATACATTCTTTCTCATTTGGTTGTCCCCCAGTGAACACAGCAGATAGTTCAATGTGGCTTTGCTCTAAAACAAAAATATAATAGAAAATTCTCATTTGGTTCACGTTTTCTAAAAATGTGAGCTGAAAACATGATATATTATGTTATAAACTAATTGGAATACCGGTCACCTGGACGAAATTTATGTAAATTCGTGATTAATGAAAGGTTATATTAGGACATGAAAAGTTGCTTCCTTTATATCTAACCAGATCAATTAAAACCATAGAATAAAATACTTAGAAAACTCCTTCACTCTCCGTAGTAGGCTTAGGACTGTCATTTAAAACAGCTTCAATCCAATTGTAGCTGTTTTAAAGTAGCCAGGTTAGAAGAGTTTTTTTATCTCTTCCGAAATGCTAACACAGTAGAAAATTAGGTGAAAATCCATCAACAGGGGGCGAAGTAGTATAAAAACGCCCATAAAATCCACAAAATACAAAACTGAAAATTTGTATGTATTTTTCCATGGGCCAAACAAACATTCATGCCAAATTTGGTGAAAATCCACTGAGAGGGGGCGAAGTAGTGGTAGAAACACAAAAACATCCATAAAAACCACAAAATGCAAAACTGAAAATTTGTATGCGTTTCCCCATGGACCCAATGAATCTCTAAACCAAATGGTTAGAAACCCCATAAAAAAAGCAAAATGCAAAACTGAAATTTTTATGTACCCCTGCATGGACCTGATGGACCTCCATACCAGTTTTCACACCCTGCGAAGTAGTTACATGGACATACAACAGAAAGCAGACAGTACTATTATACTTATATAGATTTATGAAAATGCTTCAGAAAAGAAATTACCTTAAAGATGAATTACATGTATGTAGAGCTATTATTACCTCTATTGCTTATACAATGAAATTAAGTGTTTTGGTTTAGCGTAGAATTTTGAACAAGTTTCAAACAACCTTCAAAGCCAGCAATATAAGTATCGATAAAACTATATTTATATACAAAAATAATTAAGTTTCAATCAGTTATAACAAATATTTTTTTTTTAGATTCGCCACTTAAGGACTGTGTGCGTTTAGCGGTGTTTAAAGCAAACACTGAAAAGAAGTCGTACTCAAAAGAGTTAGAAACTATAAAAAAGAAGTGTATTATTAGAAAGATGTTAACCAATAAGGTGAGTTGTTCAATAGCGTTTCAGGTCTGAGACCCTCATCAGGCGACATTCAAACAGTCGCTGATGAAAATGCATTAGGTTTATCAATTTTTTAGTCCATAATGGGCCTAATAAGTTTAAGTTAGGCTCTAAGGCCTAAACATCTATGATTTTCGTGTTTCAAAAAAGGCCTACGGCTTTGGACTATATGACAATAGATTTAGCAATTACCAACAAAATAAAATAGGCCCAAGTTAAATCTTAAGTCAGTATTTTATCATATAGATATATCTCAATTTAGTTAAGTTTATGAAAGTTTAATATACATTCATTTAGCGTTTCAATTGACACTTGTATTTTGAATGCTAAAGATTCATAAGCCTTATTATATTTAAAGATGTCAATTGATAAAGAAAGTTATTTATAATATTAACTGAATAAGCATAATTAAGTATAGCCTAAACTATTCAGAAGCCTAATATTTAATGCTTTGTTATAGTTTGCCTACGTTTACCAAATAATAAAGTTGTGTGAATGAAGTATCAAGCTTTTATCCATCCGAAGTTGCGTTACTTAAACAATTATTAAGTTTAATGGAAACTGATGTTTGCAAGATTTAAGTTTAAAACTTACGATTACTATATCTTAGAAACATCAAATTAAAACTCTCAAAAAATGTGCTTTGTATGTACTAATACCAAACCTTTACACTGTACAGTCACTTTATCGCAGGTGAGCTATCTACGCTCTTTAAATAATTTATGACATAAAGGATTTGAATTAGAAATACTTAATAACCTACAAATAGTGATGCTCGACTTAACAGAGAACTCCCAAAATTTATTTTTATTTTTCATGTGAATTATATAAAGTGTGGTATTTAGACCAATGAAGCACCTTGACCTAGTTTCGAAACATTTTTAAGCGTTCACACAACTTTACTGAGATAACATTGCAAAAATTGACTTTTCCGCATAATAAATTCTATGTATTAATTAGAATGGTAGAAATAGTGTGAATATGACATAAATGAATGAAATAGGAATGACAGACAATCAAGATACGATATGGCTATTCCAAAGTCCTAGTTGTGGCATTAAGACTCAAACGCTGGAAAATACATAGACTGATTATTTCCTTCCGGGTAAATAAGGTCTTCTTTGTTACTTTCGCACGTATCCAGTTCTAGTCTGTAAGGTAAGTTAATGTGTATTTGTTTTCAGAGGTTAAAGCAGAAATCAGGAGTATAGGGACCCAGTGCCAAACCAACTAAGTCATTCTTCTTAGGAAACTTTAAAAATTAACTACCCAGTACAACATCTTACTGAATACATATCACGTATTAAAGAGGAGTACGACCTTAGACGACTTTGCATGACAAGATTCGCCATCTCTTAGTTGTCATCTTAGTTAGCGACAATTGTAGTCTTGGCCGGTAGAGATCAGATTTCGCTTATAATCTTATGCTGGTCACTGTAGTACAACCACAAAATTTTAACTATTCTAGAATATTATTTCATCGCCCCTAGACCCCTTGTTCCATACTGCTAGGGGACTCTTCTTAACGATTTTCTTGACTGAGGGGTAAGGCTGAGCCTCTCAGCTCACCATTACTTTATCAACTGGTTGTTTCCTTGAAAAACATTTTCCTGTAGCTAACATGTTTTGTACCTATACAGACATAGAAATAGTTTTTGTGAACTTTTACTTGAAATGTAATGGGTCACTTTCACGTCTATCAGATGTAGAATTTTGGTTTTCATATCTTTAACAAGGGTCCCCTGGTGGGACAGCGATAAGTCTTCGGATTTACAACGCTAAAATCAGGGGTTCAGTTTCCCTAGGTGGACACAGCAGATAGCCCGATGTGTCTTTGCTATAACCAAACACTCACTCACTTTAACAAGTAGTCAAAATAATATAATTTTATATAAGAACTGATGAAAAGTCTGGCAAGTTTTTAAAATACAACCTAACCTGTTTCCTTTCACACTAGGATTGGTGCTGCATTTGAAGCAGACTTGAAATTGCAAAAAGTATGGGAAAAGTGTTAACATATTTTTATTATGGAAGAATCATAACCTCCCTGCAACTAACATGCTTTTATAATTAGGGAATATATCTTTCCAGTAATTAACATGCTTTTATTATTAGAGAAACATAGCCTCCTGTTATTAATATGCTTGTATTATTAGATACGTCGGTAACGTGTTTTTATTATTAGAAAAACATATCTTCCATGCTGTGATTTTTCCCCTGCTTGTGTTAAATAAACTGAATGAGAAATTGTGTACACATTTTTTTTTCATTTTAGTAAATATTTTTATAAAATTTAAAAGATAAAAATAAGTATACATCGGTCATTGTTTTATAAGATACGCTGAAGAAATACAGTGGTTATAAATTCCAATATAAGCTTCGTATAAGTGTGTTTAAATGTTAAATGTCACTACGATGTAAGATATTACATACCTCCAACTACGTTTGTTTTATGTATTTTGTTTGAAGTTAAGCACAAAGCTACACAATGGACTATCTGTGCTGTGCCCACCACGAGTATCGAAACGCGGCTTTTAGCGTTGTATGTTCGCAGATATGGGGCGCCCCAAATACGACCTACATAAAACAGAGATGACTTAATCAGTGCAGTTAAAGTGTTACATACTCCCGAACACTATACATAAAATAGCAGATGCCTTAGTCAACGCATTTATTAAACTCACACGCTTTCCTGACTGTAAGAAACTTTAAAATTCTCTTCGAAATATTCTGAGTTAAGTTAAACATATATCTGGGTGGGACAGCGGTAAGTTTATTGACTTACAACTCTAAAATTCAGGATTCAATTCCCCGCGGTGAACGTACCAGAATGCCCAGTGTGGCCTTGATCTAATTTCTAAAACAAACACATATTTTCAAAAATATAACGAAACTGATTAAATAAGGAAAACAATACCTCTCTTTTCATAGATGTTTTCTATTTTAATTAGAAACATGAAATCAGATCAATAAGAAATGTATTTGGTATGATTATACCTAATATTCATTATGGTTCCAGAGGTGGAGACTGTAGTAAAATGGGTGATTTAAAGATTAACTTAATTTGTAAGATAATTAGTGTTTGTTTTGTTTGATTTTCACAACTTTTTCAGTCCGAAGATCGAGACCAGAGTATCCAGAAGCTGTCATGTTTGTTAACAGATCAACATTGCGTAAGTTTAAGTTTTAATTATTTTTTTTTACTTTTACTAGTAAAATAATGAAATAACAAAGCTCGTTTTCTTAACTAAAAACTGCATTTCATCGACTTTAGGCTATCTTCAGTGTCTTTTTTTTTTGTACAAAGCAAAGGAAATCCTAAGTCTGTAATTCGTATGCAATACGTGGACTGATTTGGATCCTAAGTTCTACGATTCTACATTCCCATGGATCCCAGTTGTCTATTGACCAATCCAGTACTTACCTATAAAACTTATATTTTATTAATTGTGATTATTTAACTATTTAATTAACGTTAAAGAAATAGAAGGTATTGGTAAATGAAATGTTTCCTGTGTTCTATTTCAACAGCGAAACCTCCACAGTCGTCACCAGAGGGCATTGGAAAAAGTTCAAAAACTTAATACCGATGGATTTGTATCTTTTTTTTTTCATTATCCAAACGTTATGATAAACAGCAAGGGTCATTGAATTTGATAAATTTTGTCTCTTGAATCTACATTAAAATTACAAAAATAAAATAAAAAAACACTTAAAGTTCGTATATTCACTAACTTAATATACAAACAAATTATAGTGGAAACATAACGCTTATAAGATGAACTACTTAACTTGTTCGACATGTAGTTATTGAGGACGATTTCACAGGTTTGTGAACTATTGAAACAACTAACTGAGGATGTGGCTTGTAACCCTAACTTTAGGGACTATATAATCCACTTGGTGGATCTGTGTTCTTGGCCTCCCTGGATGGAAACCGTGTACGATAAACAAACATACTTCTGTGACTATGTTACACTGTTGAACCTCGTTGGTAAGTCTAGCATTTTAAACTTGTAAATTTATTAAGTACTAACTTTTATTTTCTAAGCTTGAGTGTCAGTTAATAGTTGTCAACTCGCCCTGGCAGTTAGTAAAATTATTACTACTAGAGTTATTATTAAACTGTTTTTAACATGTGTCAACTTGTTCTGGCACTGTGGCAGTTAGTAGAACTGTTAGTATTAAACTGTTTTTAACATGTGTTAACTTAAAATCATAAATAATATTAAACGTTAACCTGGTACA